TAGATGGAGGCCCACATCTGCCGCCCTGGTAACTCAGGAATTGAGACTGGAAAGGAAAGAACTGCCAGTCGACTCTCCAGAGAGCTAGCATAAACCTGAGCGCACCATGAGACAACCTGGAGTCCCGCTGAGAGACCCCTTGTTTTGATTACCTTGGCTAATGGACCTCTTAGCTGCAAGAGAGGAGCGAGCGAGCCCTTCTACTCGCTCCAACATCCTTAGGGCATCTCAAATTCCACAGAAACCAAGCCTAACCCCCCACTCCTGCTTCTACCTCTTACCCAAACCAGATCCCAGGAGCAAATCAGATTAGTCTGAAATGCTTTCAGAAATAGGTCAACCATCCTAAAATCTAATTTTAAAAATATGCCAAAACAGAGGAGAATCAGAGAATTTCTACAAAACTCAAAGCAGGAGCATTTTTTTTCCTTTGCTTGCTCCATTAGCATGGCTCCAATCTGGGTCATAACTTTGCCAGATTCATCGCAGCCACATTAAATTGAAAAAGGCACTTCTCACCACCAATAGCCAATAACCTTCTGCAATGTGGAAAAATCGCCATTTTTTCCATACAAAACCATGAATCATTTTAAAAGCACCACGGTAAAACAAAAGGCAAACATATCGCATACGCGGGAGCTTTGGAGTACAGGAGAAGTAACTCATCTTAAGAGACTGTCGCTCACAAGTGTGTACCTTGGATTTAAACCCAGGCTTTGTGTACTCTCACTTCACACAAACGAGAACTTTTATAAAGCGGGTTATAATTATGATTATGATTCGTGCTAATACAGAAGAGGGTCTGAAAGTTAAACAACGTGACCGAGCTCACCCAGCAGGTCACATGCACAAGCTCCGATATGTCAAGTTCTTTGGACATAAAATCGTCCCCATTACGTTTTGCTACATTCTAAGTTCATTATCACCTCCACCTGGGCCATTGCAGAAGCTCCTCTCAACCCCCCCCCCGATCTAGCCCACCAGCTATTGTTGGGTCCTTTCCCCAAAGTCCAATTCCACGTCCACCCTCGCTCACAGCAGCCAGCAAGGTGCACCTCAGGAAGTGGTCATCTTTAATAGACGCTTGTCCCGTGAACGGAACCTCTGCCACTCCTTTCTTGCCTCTGCAAAACTCCTTGGCATGGCAGTCAAGGTCCTCCAGCCCTGGCTCTCCTTGACCTTGGCCAACTTGTTCCACCAACACCCACCACGCCCATTGCTGTCCACTGAGTATCAGCCCCCATAGGTTGAAACCCTAACCCCCAGCGTGGCAGCGTTTGAGGTGGCGCCTTTGGGAAGTAATGAGGCTCAGACGAGGGTCCTACCCTCGTGATGATGAGATTGGGACCTGATGGAATTCGAGGAAAAGAGGGAGCGTCTGCCCTGGGTTGCTCACGCTCTCCACAAGCATGCACCAACAAAAGGCCGTGTGGGCACACCTGGTGGAGTGTGGGGAGCAGCCCGGACTGGACTGAGTTACTGGAATTAAGACTTATTCTATGCATCTGCTCTCCCACAATATGGCGCTGGGAGAGAAGTAAACAGCTTCTGCACAGCTGCCTCCAGTTCAACCAATAAACTGTAGGACTTGCTCCTGATTGGAGGAGAGCAGCGTACTCGGCATGTGGGCAGCCGAGTTGGGATTGGCAGAGGAGGACTATAAAGGAGGAGAGAGACGGCATTCACCAGGAACATCTAAGGGGAACATCTAAGGGAACACCTGTGCAGCCCCCGAGAAGAGCCGGCCGGCGGTGTGCCGCTCCCCTGCGGAAGTGGGGAATGTGGCCAGGGGGAACTGCCCTTCCACGGAGGTGGAAGGGATAGTAGCCAACCCGGGAAGAACCAGCAGAAAACCCGGGGAGGGCCGAGCAGACGAAAGAACAGCGCAGGGTTCTGTGTCGTTCCTCCACGAAGAGGGGGAGCGACAGTGGAGGAGCAGCCACGATCTGGCCCTCCCCAGACACCAGCACCTTGATCTGGACTCTGGCCTCCAGAACTGTGAGAAATAAATGCTGTCTGTGGCACTCGGTCTATAACATTCCATCACAGCAACACGGAGGCACCGAGGCCCCCCAGGCGGGAGCCACTGTCCTCCAGGCCGTGTCCCTCCCCCTGAAGGCCCTTCCTTGACTCTCCTGGGGGTCATCCTGCCACTAACACCCTCTCATTCGTGAGCTTAAACCCAGCACACAGCTTCGCTTCTGCAGCCTCAGGCCAGGAGATTTGGGAAATGCCCACGGCAGGGCGTAGCACACATTGTGCCCTGCCACCTGGGTACCCCGGCTCCTGGTCTGAGGAACACTAGTCTCTTCCACTCAAGTTCCAGCCCACAAGCCCTTTCTAGCTCAGGAGACACCATGAACTCTTTTGTGGTTCTTTTTTTCCTATTAACTATTGTAATTCTTTCAAAGGGAGAGAGAGAAAGACCACCCATCTGCTGATTCACTCCCCAAATGCCTGCCACAGTCAGGGCTGGGCAAAACCAAAACTGGGAGCCAGGAAGTCAATCCAGGCCTTCCAAGTGGGTGGCAGGGACCCAGCTACTTGAGCCATCAGTGTTGCCTCCCAGGGAGCCCATTAGCAGGAAGCTGGGAGTGGAGCCAGGACCCAAACCCAGGCACCCTGAGAGGGCACACAGGTGCCCCACGCACTGTCCTACCGCTGTGCTGGATGCCCTTCCCCGCCAGGGGCTTCTGTTATAACTTCAAATGCAAAATCTGGTAAACAATCGCAGCTGGTCACAGGACACACGAGTGAACCGAGTGAACCGCTGCTGCCAGCCAGGCGCCAGAGCCGCCCCTTCCTCTTCCACTGCTGGCCCAGCGCTGCAGCTGCAACTCCTTGATGAAGGAATGACGCTCGGGAGGTATCCTCTATCAAGACTTCACAGACAACTGGTCTTCAAGCTTTGTTCCGGTTCATGGACTAAGCTAGTCAAACTAATAAACAAGAAACACGCACCTCTCTTCCCACCCACCCCCTTACGTATGTGTGAGTGTGTGTGTGTGTTTCTAGTTTCTTTGTATTGTTGGTTTTTTTCTTTTGGGCTTTTTGTCTGGTTCTGCATCTTCAGTTATGCAGACATCAGTGAAAAGCACTGGCCCCACAGAGAAAAATCCCGATTGTCTCCTATGTGTCATTTAAATTGCAAAGCACCCAGAGATGGCTAAGAAATCTGGAAACGAACTGAGACTATTTAAAAATGGCATGGCAGAAGAAAAGAGCTAACACTCCAAGGTATCACCTGTTACATTCAATATTATGTTATTTAAGCAAACTCACAAAAAAAGAACCCCCCCTCCCCCATGCTCAAAGGGGCAATACTGGTCCACTCTGGCCTACCGCTAAAACCTTTAGGAATTTCTTTCTCCAAGGAAATAAGTATTGATGAAGGTCAGGCGGGAACTCGACTAACACCCTCAGGTTACATCAGGATTTAAATTCTCCTTACAACCCCTCTTAGACTAATAATGTTGGTGTCCAAAACCTCAGTACGCATCAGAAGTCTTGGGTAAAGTTCAAGGATATCTTCTACTTTGACTATTTCAGTGAGGACTTCTACAATACAGTTTTCCCTTGCAAAATAAGTATGAGGAAGCCTTCTTAGGGAAACAGAGAGGGAGCAAAATAGAACATATGGAAAGAGATTATGGGATTAATTAATTAAATGATGTCTTAAAATGAGACATGGGGAGTTTCCCAACCTTTTGGAAGAAGACATGGTAAGTTCATGTTGACCAACTGAATTCTATGCCATATACATACATATTTGTGTACACACACATATACACTCATTTACATATGAAGTAAAGAGTAGAAACACTAGATAGGTATTTGCTTGTCCAATAACACTTACATAAGTCTACAAACAAACAGACATCTATTCAGAACAGTAAATTTGTATTCAACATTAAACAAACTCGGTTTATTTTCCACATCCATCTTTGGGATTTCCAGATTGAGTCTTTTAAGCAGTGACATGAACAGTGAACAGCCCAAGTCCAGGATGGTCTGCAACAATAATAAGGGCTCAGAGTGACTGATTTCATGGAACCGAAATCCGAACCAACAACAACCAAAAACTGACAACTACACTTTCACCTGCTTTAACTGCTTAACCTAAGACAAATAAATGCAAAAATTCAATAAAATGTAAACAAATGGTAAGATTCATGAAATGCATTCTTGTTCATTGTCTCTCTCACAGACACACACACACACACACAAACAGTAGCTGATAGCTAAGGAAAATGATAAGGATGACTACAAATTTTATACTCTGTGATAGTAGTCAAGCCTTGTCGCTTAAAGAACAAACCTGATATAGACCTAACATTAAATCATCAGAAATGTAGGCCGCCAAACCTAGCCGCAGCCACTTCCGGCAATCCTGTCCATGCAACGCAAACTGCTCACCCCTGACTCCAGCATGAGTGTGGGTAACCAGTGGTAAGAAGGCCGAAGTGGCAAAGGAACAGTACCATGCGACAGTGAGCGACCCCTCCCTGCTTTCCTCCCACCGAAACTCTTAGAACTGAAGCAAAGGGTTAATCAGGGGAGCAGGTGAGGACGGCCTGCCCATGCCCTGGGAGTGACAAAATGGTATTCTGTGGTGGGCAGGGCAGAGCTAAAATGTTAAGTGCTAACAAGGCCATGGGACACCAGGTGTTAACTTCTCACTTGATGATGGAGAGTTTGCATTTTTACCCTAATTTTTACCTTCGGTATCTGTTTTAGAAAACATCATTGCTCTAACCCAAAACAACAAAAAGGTAAAGAATTGGAAAACTGTAACAACACAGCTTGATTCCATCTCTGACACCTACCCGTCAACCTACCACACCTGGTTCAAGTGTTCTTAACTTCTGTTCCTATCCCTGCTCAAATCAATCTCTTTGAACCTCATACTTCAAAATGCTGAATACACGGTGAGTTGTTTTGTCGTTGGAAACCTGTGCGTTTAAGGACCCGTCCCGTGTGTCCCTGTGCTGGGCACTTACCTTCAGGGAAGGCATGCGGCTGGACCACGTACAGGAAGACGTGCACCATCCGGAAGAGAGCGCCGATGGGCCCCACTTCGTAGGCTTGCTGGATCCTGTATTTCGCTGTAGGCAATGTGTAGTTCAAAGCCTCCAGAGGGCGTGGGGCTGAGGGCTGCCCTCCTGAAACCAGATCCCCACAGAGCCCCAGCAGCAGCAGCAGGAAGCCGAGTAGGTGTGCCATGGCTAGCGAGGCCCCCCACACATGAGCCAGGACTGGGTGCCTCTCGCCTCCAGGCTCCTGGAAGCCACGGAGCAGACAGGTGTCTTGCTGTGCAGAAGAGGCCTGGGGGGCACGGGGTCTGCCGAGTCTTCCTCCGTTTTCTGGCTGGGCTGGGTCACAGCGAGGGACACGGAAGATCTCTCTCCAAAGCGGTCATTCACTCAAGGCACCATCCCTGGCAGAGAGAAAGAAGGCAGCAATGTCACCCACCCCTGCGACCTCCCCCTGCCCCGCCCCTGCCCCTCACCCCGCAAAGCTCCTGAGCAAGCCCTGCAGCCTAATCCATGTGGGTGAAGCTGCATACGCTGCAGAGCCCGAGGGGAGGGGCAGGCAGGAAAGTGGGACCCAGAGAGCCTAGAGGGCCAGAGGCAGAAACACCATGCAGCCTCGAGGAGGTCTGGTCTTGGAGACAGCCATGGACTGAGCACCGAACTAGACTCTAGAGACCATTCTGCGTGCTGCATAGTAGGACCTTGTTCACGGCACAAACCCATTTTACACATGCAGAAACTGGCGCCGAGAGGGTTTGGGTGGCTTGCCTGATGCCACAGGCAGGTGATGGTGAGGCCGGAACGCACACCCAGCAGTCTGCCTTCCGGAGCCCAAGCTCTCACGTGACACCAGGACACTGTCCCCACGGAGCCCTGCTGGCAGGCTCCTTTCAGAGCTGCACAGGTCCCCAGCAACAGCCTCTGTGCTTACTCCCCCGCCAACCCCCTGGGAAACAGGAATCCTCAGAACAGCCACCACCGCAGTGTCGGGAGGGCAAGGGGCGCAAAGGGTTGGAGAAGGGCCCCGCCCTACTCGTCTTTCTGTCCCTAGGACCTAACACAGGGAGGGGCACACTGTTGGGGTTATCAGGAGCCACCTGGCTTCCATGTGTCATTTTCCAAAGCTGGGGGACTTGGCACAGAGGCTTCAGGTAGGATCCAGGATGCACAGTCTCTCTCTCTCTCTCTCTCTCTCTCTCTCTCTCTCTCTCTCTCTCTCTCCCCCTCTCTCACTCTTGCTCTGTTCTGGGTTTCTGGGACAGATGCATGCTATACTTACTAGCTTTCAAGGTAAGTGCAGGGTGCCCCCCAAACACACGCTATGAGAAGGGGAGATAGGATCAAGAAATGGCACACCAGAGCCAGCACTGTGGTGTAGCCGGTAAAGCCGCTGCCTGCAGTACCGGCATCCATATGGGCGCCGGTTCGAGTCCCAGCTGCTCCACTTCTGATCCTGCTCTCTGCTACAGCCTGGAAAGCAGTAGAAGATGGTCCAAGTCCTTGGGCCCCTGCACCCACACAGGAGACCTGGAAGAAGCTCTGGCTCCTGACTTCTGATGGGTGCAGCTCTGACAGTTGCGGCCATCTAGGGAGTGAACCAGCAGATGGAAGACCTCTCTCTCTCTCTCCCTCTCTCTTTCTCTCTCTCCCCCTCTCTCTCTCTGCCTCTCCTTCTGTGTAACTCTGACTTTCAAATAAATCAATAAATCTTTAACAAGAAATGGCACACCGTATGAGGGGTCAGAGGATGCACCACCTACATTCCAAGTCAGAGAAATCTCGAGACAAGAGGTAGAATTTTGTGAGCTATGTGAATGAAGATACTAACTCATAGCTCATCCCCTTAGCTACGGCCTCATCTTCTAAGTCTCACCCCACTACAGTCGCTGCTGCACAGAATGCCCAGTAGAATGATCCAAATTCTCCCTTCACCACGTCACGGCTGCTCAGATCCCTACGTGGCTTCCCGTGGCAGGCTGGTTCACCCCACGCTTTGGTTCCGACCCTCCGTCACACCCACAATCTACACCACAGTCCCGGTGACTGCTCCCAAACACCTCCCTTTGAGCCCCGCCCCCTACACACACACACAGGCACACACCTCTCCCACCCCCCACCCACAGCTCATCTTGTGTTTTGCTGAAGGACAGACAGGGAGTTAAACCTCAAGCGCAGCACCTGGAAGGATTAAAGGCTCAACTGCTGAGAAAGGCTCGCTTCCTGGTAATGCCGCCAAGCAGAGAGAGAGAGAGGGAGGGAGAGAGAGAGAGAGGGAGGGAGAGAGAGGGCGAGAGAGAGAAAGAGAGCTGGCTCAGGGAGAGCTAAGAATAAACAGGCTTTCAAACTGTCTCAACAGAAAAAGCAGAGGGAGGGAGCTCTCCAAAGCGGCGAGACCTTACTGTTCACCACCACAGGTGGTTGTCAGACAGTAAAGCGAGTGCACGTCGTATTTCTTTGCATCTTGCTCCAAATTCCAGAATAGCTAAGAAGATACTGACGCCTCACTCACTATGCCACACTGCAGAGAGCTGTTTAAAGTCAAGTCCAAGAGGAGGCGTTCATTGGCGGTGCCCAAAGAGATGGGGTGGGGACTTCCCTGCTGGGCCCCACCACCACCAGAGCAGCCCACGGAACTTTCAGCCTGAAACCTAGGAAAGCTGGCCGCAGCAGCATCGAGTCAGCACAAAATAGGTGCTCACTTAAAACACAGAGCTGTTGGACCGACTCATGGTCCATTCATCTGCATTTTTGACAGTTTCCTGGTGACTGATTATTAAGACAGCAATGGATGGGGCCGGCGCTGTGGTGCAGTGGGTTAATGCTGCATCCCATATGGGCACCGGTTCAAGGCCCAGCTGCTCCACTTCTGATCTGGCTCTCTGCTGTGGCCTGGGATAGCAGTGGAGGATGGCCCAAGTCCTTGGGCCCCTGCACTCCCTTAGGAGACCTGGAAGAAGCTCCTGGCTCCTGGCTTCGGATCAGTGCAGCTCTGGCTGCTGTGGCCATCTGGGGAGTGAACCAGTGGATGGAAGACCTCTCTCTCTCTCTCTCTCTCTCTCTCTGCTTCTCCTCTCTCTGTGTAACTCTGACTTTCAAATAAAAAAATAAATAAAACATAAAAATAAGACAGCAATGGTACAAAATGAGCACTGTCCCCGGAGTGTCTATTTGACCCGTCTATGCTGCTTTCCAAGGGTGAGTCAGGCTTCCTGGGCGCAGGACCCAGGTGAAACCAGAAAGCTCCCCTCGCACATCTTCCCATCTCCATCCCTGTGAACTGATATATTCCACCTGACTTACATCTTTATCTCCAGGGCCTGGCACACAACAGGCACTCAATTAAAAAAAAATACACACACATGCTGAAATGAAGTGGTGCAGTGGGGAGCGGGGCAGGACTGGCACGGAACAGTTATTTTAATCTATTTCCATAGATTGCTATCAATGACCACTGATGTTTCCACGTCAAGCATTTGTTGATAGGAAGCTTCCGGATGGGTGAGTTCTACGCTCCCTAGGAGATTGCTCGTGTCTTTGTCCTCCAGTACAGGCAGCAAGACGCTCCACACTAGAGCCAGCTGTGGCAGAACAGCTAACTGGTCTACCTTCCCATCTTTGGCAGTTGCTCCCCCCAGGGGCTGTCCTCATAGGTAGGTGCTAGACGATCAATAAGGCCAATCTCCTGGGCAAAGGGCAGCCGACTGTGGTTTCCACTCCCAAGGCGCGGAATTCCAAGGGGGAGGAGGGCCTGAGAAGGTCAGTTTTAAACAAATACCTCACATGCTTCTGAGCCTGGAGTCCAAAGAGCCACATTTCCGCAGACACCGGTTTAAAAGCAAATAATAAGGTAACCGAGCCACTTCATTTCTTCTTTCCTTGAGATGGAACTTTTGAGATGTTTCTTCCCTAACAGGATCCGGGGGAGCTGTTTCTCACCTGCCGGTGCTTTGAGGGGAATGTGGGTGCTGCCCACCTTTGTGAGTCCTGTGGGAGGCAGCCCTGCCTGTCATTGTGAGGCCAGCTGAGGGGCCCACATGTGTCCTGGGGCTGAGCCCAGCTCCACCAATCAGATGCTTTCTCCTGGGCCTGGACCTGGAGCGCACTGCTGTGGCCAAGGTTTCTTACTCATCCTAACAATGATGGAGGCAGGGTCAGCAGCCACCTCCAGAGTCCCTTGCTGACATCCATAGCCATACACCCATCAAGAGTCCTGTCCCGTGTCCTGGGTTCCTGAGCCTGGCTAGCCAGCCTTCCTGCCACCTCCCTGAGCCACCCCGTCCCCAGATTCCAAGTCCTTCTTCTGCCCCAGTCCCACAAAGTCAGCATCTACTGTAGGTAACAAAGCATCCTGATCCGGAAGCAAACCCCAGAGGTAGCCCTTGGTTGCTGGGAAAACCTATTGCCTTCATGTTTTAAACAGCACCAACCACTCACTACTTGGGTTTAAACTCTTGTGTGTGTTTTTTTTTTTTCTCAATCTGTCCTTTGATGCACCGGTTTACTGCACAGCACTAGAACACAAAGCAACAGCCCAGCAGAGAAATCATAAGGAAGCTCATAAAATTAAATTATGGGACACGTTTAAAAAAAAAAAAAAAAACTAAAGGGCACTGCTGTTTAAACAGACAGCTGCCAAGCTCTGGTCCCACCTATCAACTCTGTGGTGGTGACCTTGCTAAGAGTCTGCAGCCCTTCCTCTATTGCTCTGTGGAATGGGGGTTTCCGCGGGATGGGTGGGTTGCAGCTCCCTTAAGCACCTGGCACACAGCTGGGATGCAGCGTAGCCCGTGGGCACCGCCACAGCCCCAGTCCCATCCGCAGTCTAAGCTCAGCTCCATCCTGGCCCCGGGCTCAACCTCAGTACAACGACACCTCCCTGGGTGCTGAAAGAGGAAACCCACACACGACTGAGAAAAGTCACCTAAGTAACATCACACAGGTTGAATCCGATGAAGTGGACGATATTCGAATCTTTGACGCCCCCCTAACCCTCCCCCCAAATTCACGTGGTTCCTCCTCTAATGCTGCAGCCGTGGTTTGAGCGAGTGTGGGAGTGGGAGTGGGGGTGGCGGACATTCAAGGACCCCAGTCTCGCCCTTGGTTATTTCAGCAAAGGCCAGCCGGCGCCCACGGGAACCAGGCGATCCCGGCCGCACAAAGGCCGGTGGCCGCCGCGGGCTCCGGGAGCAACCTGTAGCTGCTGGCAGCGCGGGGCGCCGGCTTCCCCCAGCCTTCGCTCCGGGCCCCGCCTGCCCTCGCCGCCCCGGGCCAGGACCGTCTCCAGAGCTGTGGGACACAAAAGAATGGGCGGCGGGGCGGGCGCGGGAAGCGCTGTAGCCGGGGGGCGGAGTTGTTGAGCGACTTGGCAGCTCCAGGCGCGTCGGCTCCAGTTCCCGGGCAGGGATGGGGGCGCCGCCACCCCGTCCGAGGGAAGGAGACCCAGGACGACGCTCTCGGCTCGGATCCGACCCTCTGCCCCTGGCAGGACGCGCTCCCCGGGAGACTGGGCCCCCACGGGCTCTCCCACAGCGTGAGCTCTCGGGCTGTCCGAGCTCCCCTTTGTTGTCCAGGTCTGCATGTACTGGCTGAGTGCGCGCGGAGCAGCCCAGATATCCACCCCGCGACAGCCCAAAGTCCCCGGGCTGTGCACCCAGAAGGGCCTGGGGGTGGAGGCGTAAGGCCAGGGGTGCGGGCTCGCTCACCGACAGACACACGGGGAGACGGCTGCCCTCTGCACCCGCCAAGAGCCGCCTCCTGTTCCGCTCCATGGCACCGCGTAGACACTGGGCAAAGCTGAAAGCTGGCAGCTTTTAGTGCTTGCCCGGAGAGTTCCCAAACCCTGGGAAGCCTCCCCCACCCCGCCCGCCCAGAGCAACCCCAGGCCTCGGGGACCCGGTCCCAAGGGCGCTCCCGGCGTCTGCTGGAACCCCGGGATCGCAGGAGCCACAGCTGCCAACTTCCCTCCAGCGGAGGGAAAGCAAGCCCGAGAGACACGCGCGGCTGCGCGGGCCACCACGCAGCTGGAAAAGTTTGCACTCCCCGCCGGGATCTCCCAGAAAGGCGCGGGATCTGCCGCGGGCCGGGCACCGCGACCATCGCTCTCAGCCCGCGGCTGCGCCAGCTCGCAGGCCGCAATCTGGGCTCGCACCGCCTGGCGGGGCCGGGGAGAGGGTGCAGAGAGGACCCCTCCACTCCGCGTCCCCTGACCCCAGTTCTGGGAGAGATGAGCTCAGCCCCGAGCCAGTCCACAGCCGCGTCCCGCGCTCCGAAGCGAGGACGCAGCTACTCACCGTGCGCACGGCTCCCACTCCTGCCCCTCTCCCCGCGGCCACCGCCCCTTCCCCTTGCAGCTCCGCTCACCGGATTCCGGCTCATGAATTATTTATGATCTGGCTTCGGGGACCACCCGGTCGGCTTCCCGAGGGCCCGCCCCACGGCACCTCGCCGACCTCACCTCGGGGCGCGGCGGGAGGCGGGCCAGAGAGGCTCAGGGGTGCCCGCCGGGACCTGTTGCAGCCTCTCCGATCCTCCGGCCGGGACTTGGGGCTAGAGCCACCGCCGGGGTGGGAATGATTCTTTAATCGTACTCACCCGCGTCAGGAGAGCTGAGCGCGAGGCCAGGTACGGGTCAGGCTCTGGCTCTGTAATGTACAGCTCGCTAAGCCTGGGGCTCTGCCCGCGCTCTGATTGGACCAGGGCGCTCACCGGGACCTGAACTGCATCTCGGCGGCGGGAGCCCAGCTGACCCCCGCACGCCCTCGCAGCGCGCACGCCTGTTTGCAAGACCTGCAAGGCAGCTGCCCTCCCGAAAGCTCGTCTTCGAACGTGCCTCGGCTGACTCCTCCCGGCCACTTTAGACACTTCTGTTTCCTCCTCCAATGCACTTCTTTTTTTTAAACCAAAACAAACACATCACTGGGCTCCTTCGTGTATACCAAACACAAGGCTAGCAGCTGAAGGTTTAAGAACCTGCATACAGCAGTCCTGGCTCCCATAAATAGTACAGGCAGCCCCTGCGGAGCGACGCATCGCACCCCTGAACCACATGCCCACTGCCTTCACACCGGCTAGGAGACGGCGGAAACTTTGCCGAAAGTGATCACCCTTCTCCTAGCTCCTTCACCGATGGGCACCTCACCCCCACGGAGGCACCCACGTGTCCCCAACTGGGGACAGATTATATCAGGAGGGGAGGAGCTGAGCTGGTACAGAGCATGTGTGGACTTCTTTTCTTGCCGTTACTCCCTAAACGACGCGAGGTAAGCACAGTTTGCAGAGCACCTACATGGTGTTAGGTGTCAGCAGCCTACAGATGATTTCTGGTATAGAGCAGCAGGGTATTGTGGGTTACACTACAACATTTTACTGGTATAGAAGGGATCGGAATGCCCCAGATTTGGGTACCTGCAGGGGTCCTGGAACAAAGGATAACTCTTCTGTCTGGTAGGGGGAAAATCAGACAAAGATAAGAAAAGCACCTTCCGGATGGAGTCCAGCACACAGCAGGTGCTTAATTAATGTTTGTGCAATGGATGGGTGGGTGGTGGGTGGAAGAATGGAAGGGGCTGTGCACAGACCCACAAGTGAGTGATAGACAGGAACATTAACTCAACAGCTCTCTCTCTGACCCCGAGCATAAATCAGGCAGTGGAGAAACAAAGCATTCTTTGGGAAGGTTCGGGTGATCTTGAACTTGCATCTTTCTGGGACAAAAACGTCTGGAAATTGCACTAGGACGTGGCAAGGTCAGGTGTGCCTGGGATTCCCCCACCACTCGGGGCCTCTGCCTGAGTTTCTTCAGGACCTGGGCTCACCTGCCTGGGGCGGGGGCTGCCTGGCAAGGTGACTTCTCCCTCCACAAGCACCCTGCTCTGAGCAGCCTCAGATTCTCGTCCTGCACCTCTTCTTCACTGTGGTTTTCTGAGGCTCGGTTTTCTTGCTTTGCCAAATGAAGACAGGAGTGACTTGAGGGCTCACTCATTCCTGCTGGAAGCACTATGAGGCACTGTGCCAAGAGCTTTAAATGAATTCCTTTATGTAACCTGCGCACCACCAGCAGGCTTGAGACCCTACTATTGCTATCTCATCATAATGATAAAGCTACAACAAATTGCGTATAACCTGAATGTACTCTGAGGTCACACTGCTAGTAAGCGGAGCCCTGAATGAGAACCCAGTACTGGCCTCCAGGACCATGATCACCAGTGCACTAGGAAGGGTGAAGCCCTCTCTGATCACGGCTGCCCTGGGTGGAAACAGCTGGCCCTTTGCCCTCCTGCTGGGTGCTGCCTGCTTCAACTATTGTTATCCACTTCCATATCCTGCTCCAAAACAAAGCCCGGGAGCCATTGTAGGTGTTCAATAGGCCAGTGACTAAATAATAAGTGTGAGACGCAGTATTAGGCCTGTTCTGATAGGCAGACAATGGCCAGTCCCAACAATCTGTCCTGTCCAATCTGCTCCGCACCCTAAGAATCCCACCGTCCCATCACTTATTTGCATACACACTCACAGTGATTTGACGCACAAATTCGGTCTTGCTTTCTGGAAAACACTTCCTTGTTTTTTCCTGCCCCAGTGACATCTGAAGATGAGGCAGTGAGGTGTTCTGGAAAGAGCACTGGGCTGAAAGTTGGGAGGTTTGTCCAGATTCTGTTACTAATGGCCAAGGTGGCCCCTACATCATGAGATCCCTCTGGGCCTCACCCCCCTCCTCGGACCCATCAAGGTGCTCAGTGACCACCTCAGTGACCAAATGGTGACCACCGATTTGGGCATCGCTGATATGGGACATTTCTGTCATGGCACAAAGCTCTATTGGGGAGTGCTAGGGTAATCACAGTAGGTAAGACAGTCCATAATAGTCACAATAGAGGAAAAATTATAATGAGACTGCAATAAGAAACCCCAAGTTTCCACACAAGTCACATTAGAAATGAACCGTTAACTGGGATTGATTAGTGTCCGGACACAAATGTTGATT